CCGGAACCCCCGGGGGTTAATGAGCCTTGTTGGGCCCTAGTGGAGAGAGATAAGGGCCGGCCAGGGCAGGCCGCGCGCCACCTCCCCCTCTGGTATGAATTGGACTAGGAAGGGGGGAGGCGCCCCCCTTTCCTTCTCCTTCTCCCCCTTCCTTTCCCCCTCCTAGTAGGAGTAGGAAAGAGGGGAGTCCTACTCCTACTAGGAGGAGGACTCCTCCTCCTGGCGCGCCCTACAGGGTCGGCCGGTCTCCCCCTTGCTCCTTTATATATGGGGGCAGGGGCACCCTAGAACACACAAGTTGATCATTGATCTCTCCCAGCCGTGTGCGGTGCCCCCTCCACCATAATCCGCCTCGATCATATCGTAGCGGTGCTTAGGCGAAGCCCTGCGTCGGTAGCTTCATCAACATTGTCACCATGTCGTCGTGCTGACGAAACTCTCCCTCGAGCTCTACTGGATCATGAGTTCGCGGGACGTCACCGAGCTGAACGTATGCTGAATGCGGAGGTGTCGTACGTTCGGTACTGAGGATCGGTCGATCCTGAAGACGTACAACTACATCAACCGCGTTGTCATAACACTTCTGCTTAATGGTCTACGAGGGTACGTGGACGACACTCTCCCCTCTCGTTGCTATGCATCACCATGATCCTGCGTGTGCGTAGGATTTTTTTTTGAAATTACTATGTTCCCCAACAATTTCGGGCAACCCTCGGCAAAGATATGAGCTTAATGGGCTAAGTAAGGGATCACACCAGCCCACAAGGGGCTGATGCGCCCCCTATAGGGCCAGCCACGTGGGGAGAAAGGGAAGAGAGGAGGAAAATGAAATTATGAGGTAGGACTCCTACTTCCTTCCCCTCCTTCCTTTCCCCCTTATCCAAATAAGGTAAGAGGGGGGGGGCGAATTGGACTAGGGGCCCAACTAGGATTCCTCCTACTTGGGCATGCCCTAGGCTACCTCCCTCCCTCTCCCTCCTTTATATACGTGGGGAGAGCACCCCTAGAAGGCTAGAACACACATCAATTGTTCCTAGCCATGTGCGGTGCCCCCTCCATAGTTACACACCTCGGTCATGTCATCGTAGTGCTTAGGCGAAGCCCTACACCGGTAACTTCATCATCACCGTCGCCACACCGCCATGCTGACGGAACTCTCCCTCGGCCTCAACTGGATCAAGAGCTCGAGGGACGTCATCGAGTTGAACGTGTGTTGAACACTGAGGTGCCGTACGTTCGGTGCTTGGATCGGTTAGATCATGAAGACATTCGACTACATCAATCGCATTACTAAACGCTTCCGCTTTCGGTCTATGAGGGTACGTGGACACACTCTCCCCGCTCGTTGCTATGCTTCTCCTAGATAGATCTTGCGTGATCGTAGGATTTTTGTTTTGAAATACTATGTTCCCCAACACCTCGACCCCTTCCCGGGCACCTACCGCCTTCACAGCGTTGTAGCCCCGCCGAGGGCACTACTCTTCATCTTGTTAGTCGTGGCCCCCACAACATCCACCATCCCTGTGCATCTTGGCCCGCCTCCAGTGGTGCCCTGTGGGAAAGACGGA